AGCAGTGGTCTCTAGCCGTCATTGGTTCTTACCATGCCGAGGACCCCAACCAGGAAGTCTACATCTCCCGACGTGGTTGGCTTAAACTAACTGTTATGGATTTCATTGACTGATGAAGCCATGTTTTGGTTTTGACCACCACCGCATAATCCTTACTTCCATTGTGTCAGTAAGGATTTGAAATTTAATAAGACCAAAACTGTTTGTTAGATAGATAAGTGTTCACTTAACCAGTGTGAACACTTTTTCCCTGATCAAACTTAAAACCATTGCTTACATTGTGTCAGTACTTATAGATCGCAAGTGATTGTTAAGTAATATTTGATTCTTTTCTCCGTTATGAATGTAATAGTTTTTCGATCACAGGTGATATATTTCTTCACTTGTGATTTAGATGGCTATCATACACTAATGATACTCTTGAAATTTTCTCATGTCTGGTCAATAAATTCATTCTTTTTACTATACGATTTTCTAAATAATATACATCCGTTTTCAGCCATTCTTTCGAACCAAAAGCGATAATGATACACCTTTTCTACCATATTTGGGTCCGAGCAATACACAAGGCAAAGGACGTATGGGATTACCATCTCGACGTTCTTATCCGAAGACAATGCATCATGACACCCATCGTATGGGTACATCAGAAATTATGGAATAACCCTTTTTGTAGCTGTATATATATACAAACTTTATTTTTCATATTGCAATTTCTGCCTGTTATTTTTATTCCACTCTACTTTTGATCCAGTTTTTTTTCGCTACAAAAGTTTCGTTAGTTTGTATAAGTTTATGATTTGCCTGATTACCTGCATTTACAGACTTCATAAATCAGTCACTTATTGTTCTTATAGTTCTATACTACAACTCACAGATCGTTTGATATACGTTTAGTGAGATGTTGGATTACTTCTAGACTTCAGAAAGTCTTACTCACATAGCCTGACGTTGATTTTATAAGCGTTATTTTTTGTTATGATTACTGTGTGAAGAAAGAAATCAATTTAGAACATGTAAGTCTTCTTTCACATAGTTTAGGCGCAGAGTGTTAGATAAGGAGTGAAAGTCAGTTGATGAGTTTGTAAAGCTGTATCAATTGAGATGGCTAGGACACGTGTTACACTTACTACTGACCTACCGCCTTCCTCAACGAGTAATGTTATCTAAAAAATAGGATTAGTGATATAAGATTAAAACTTCACTTCATTTGAAACTTCAGTTATGCCTGGCTGATGGAAGCTAGGTTCATAGCTTTCCACTAATTCCCTACAGGTGTAATAGAAATAATCTGCCTCCAATGGAACACGAGCACATGAAAGTTATAAATGGTGACTACTTAGTTTATTCCACAACAGAAACACACTCAGCTCAATATATTAAATATTCCCACTCAGCTCAAACTTCTAGATGACGAATCCAACATAGAATTTAAAGTGTTCTATACTTTAATGTATGTTAACGTCAAATAAATTAAATTCCTATCTAGTGGGCAAATAAAACTGACTGGAGTGACATCATGATTTCTATTTGATCCCTAAAACAGTTAAGATTACCAATGTATGTGGTTGTAAACTGACCTAAAACAATCTATTATTTCTTCATTCTTTGCGTCATGATTGGAAAATAAGGCTTCACACTTTTGAAGTGTCAGTAACGATTGTGTTATTCTATGCGGTGAGGTTGCTAGCCACTTGCCAAACCTTCCCTCTTTCCCGAATTTACTACCAACTGAGGAAATAACTGAACCTTGGGAGTGTATTCGCCGGGGGTTGAATACGGACTCGATTATGAATAAAATTTTATTTTGACAAAATCACACAGTGTTATACAGTAATAGTTAATGATGACGTTTCGAGCACTAATTATTGTTCATAATCATATCAAGGCACTCACTCACACAACTTTTTTCCTTCATTTATACACATTTGTGGAATCGATTAGATATTGGAATAAAGATCAATATAGGATAATGTACATTCAAAATTAATAATGTGAGTGTTGGGAAAGAATTAGAATTCTAAGAACTATAAAGTGGAAAAACTTTTAAGTACTTCATTAGGATTTCGTATGTACAACTGAGTTTCTGAAAACTTCAGTGCAGGAACCATAGTTCATAGCATTTTCAGAGCCTTGGTCTGATAGTTTACACAGTCCAGATTAAGTGTGACTAGCCTCACAGGACCAAATTTTATCCTGAGCATTTGTTTGCTAGAGAAATGAGAAGGAAAGGAAATGGTCAGTGTGTGATTTTTTCATGAATCGTCTCTCATTATTTCAAAGAATTTCTACCAAACCCATTATTCTTACCATTTGGCAGTAGTCTACACACGCTTTGGGTTCGTTTATAAGTCTTACTTTTTACAAGGAAATACCATTTATGGGTGAATAAGCTGCCTATTTAATAACCTAAGCTTGTTGGCGATATGTAACTTACTGCATGATGTTGAACTTTTGATTGAAACCGTGAGTTGTGAGTCAGGAACCAGATAAAGACGGTTGCTCATAACCCGTCTTCTGTTACACTCAGCAAGTCGTAATAATATGAGTATAAAGTTATTGTATCAGGTAAGATTAGTAAGGCAGGTAAATTCATAATTATGCAACAAATTGACATTTATATTTGCAGTTGATTCACATGACCCAATCTAAAAATCTAATCTGTCGGAACATTAAGCCCACATGTAATTATTTTTTCACGTGTGCATATCTGTTCATTGCAGTAGTTTTGAGTTTTACTTTCCTCTGTCTTTGTGTGTGTGCTACATTGAGCGTGTCAGTCTTATTTTTTCTGCAGTTCTATGTAGAAACTCAGTCTGGTTCCGGACAGTGGAATTTGTGACACGTGTCCCGTCCTATTTAAGACATAATGCTTTAGCCAAATGAAGTAATGATGAACATAAAGAAAGATCTTTTTAATAGTCTTTGTACACTTCAATAGAATTAACAGTGATCTTTTTAAGAGCGTTAAGTGATACTTTTCAAAGTTAAAACCGCTACTGATCACTTCTTATTTTCAAGAAGTGAAGTGGGGTTAACTAGGGACTAAGCGAAAGAGAAAAATTTAGTCAAACAATTAAACTTATAAGATGTTACTAGTGATCATATGCTCTTTTATTTCAAAAGTGGGTGGTATTTGTTCACTATTCAAGGATGCTAGCAAATAATAAATCATTCACTATGTACACCCATGGTGCTTAAGGCCATCCAGTTGTTCAGGTCGATTAAAAATGATTGACTGCATCAGTGACTGACTGGTTTTAACGTAGAACTTAGCACAGACGTGCAGCAGATAAAGTCGCCACACTACATGTAGCACGCAAAGCAAGAGAAGAGGGTTAGGCGAAGTTCAAAAGATATAATAAAGAGAAGTGTGAGTGGACAAGAAGAGTACTTTCGAAATATAATATAGCTTTATTGGATATAGTAAGTCACAAAGAGTGTGTAACGGTTGGTAATTCTCCAGAATTATTAGCCACTGCATTCATCACTGAACATTAGGATGTTTTAGTCGACTTGTTTAGCTGCAATCTCACAGTCAAGCATCTACGCTGTCGTGTCACGTTCATGCACGAACCCTAGCTACTTAAGCAATCAACCTCGCACTACGATTTGGTCCCGAAATATACTTCGGAATTTGGACTGTCAATTTTGGTATTTTGCCTTGCCTTCGGTGTACGCGGAACGAATACTATAGAAGTTGTTGGTATTAGATCTTGCGTTAGTATCCTATTATACTCTATTTTATCTCAACTATTTAGGACTTTATTAAAGCTAAAATTTACTCTTTTCATTTGCATTCTTCGCTCGCTTGAAGTCTGGTTGCTTTGATGCAGATAATACATAACAACACCAGTGTCTGAGAAAAACTATGTTTTCATCGAAAACGTCGTAGTTTTCCATGGTAAGACCAATAAGGTTAGCATTGAACATTGCAAATGTGTACTATCATCCCAAGTACTCTATAGCTCCCTCTTGTATTCAACTTATAAATGTGCTGCCGATGACATATTATCCATAATTGTATTTAAACCACTATGCAGCTTCCGAGGACGTTCTTCTCTTTCTGAAATAGCGTTCAAAAACGTGTGGGCATAGTACTTACCCCAATATATGTGGTTTCCAGTCGACCCTTTCTATCATCAAGAAACGGAACGAAGTTCGGGTTGTCGCTCAACTTTGAAGGTTACTTAAGGGGAATACCTACAACTTAACATTTAAAAGAACCTTGTAAGCGCAATATCGCTTGAAATTAAGTCACGCGTAGATAGAGGCTAACCCGGTCCAGAACAAACAAGAAGCCGGTCACTGTTTCTACGGTACTATTAATAAAAAAATCAATGAACATATATATAACAAACCTTAACGGTTTCAAGAGTACAAAACACAATGCTTAACAGAAAGCAAGGCACCGCTATCAGAGCGGAAAAACGTTAAAGCCAAAATTACAAACTAGCCAGATCAGACACGACCGTTCAGGTAAGCAGTCAGTAGAAGAATGAACCCAAGTAAGAGGTAGAGAGAGCATAGGCACAAAGATAGAATTTAATTGGCTACTTAACCAATCGATAAATAAGATAAACTCAACAGAATAATACAAAGCAATACATGGGTCAGCAAAATAACAGTTCACAAAAATACTCTGATTGGGTCATGAGTTCAACTGTCTGACTAAACAGATCGAAGTAAAAACACACACAGTTCATTAAACGAGGTGGGATAGACACGTTAGGCATGGCTAATTGGGTTGCTCTAGGTGTTAAGTCAGCTTCATGATGTTGGGAAGATTGCAATTTATTTCACGAGCCTTTTGCTTACATGATTCACGGTTGTGCATTAAGATTTCAGTTCCTGTATTGATGAACTCAACTGATATTTACTGTACATTCATTTTTTCAATAAATTCAAAAATAGCGTCCATCAGAATTATCTTAGTATGTTTTCGATGAGCAACCGGGTTTACTCCTTCTAGGCCAAACTTTTCTTTTCACATAACAATATCAGGCTGCTTTACGTCGTTTTCTTTTTCCGACCATCCGACGTACGGATGTTGTACAAGGTTGGAGGACTGATTCCTCAGGCGCTCTAAATTCACTTGATTGATCAAGTACCTGGGATTCTGAAACCATAACTTGGTCATTTGATTTTCTTATTGTTGTATCGGTTTGATTAGATTCGATTGTTGTTCCTGGTTTATTGCCGGATGCCGGTAAATGAACATTGTGCCACCATCCAAAACATTGTGCTGAACAAAGACGAGGGAATCGCGGGCACGCTGCGCAAACCATGGTGACTTCCGTTTCATAATGCACGCAGTTTCTCAGTTTACATGCACTACACTCCGTTGTGTCACTGATGAAACCAGTAGTAGTAGCACCAGTTTCAAGCATATATTGACAAAGGAAGTCTATAGAGATTAACTTGTGTTTATCACTTATTGGTTTCCATGCTTCCTCTGGGGTAGAAGTACTAGTACTGGGTGTAAGAGTACCACATGTACTACTGATTTGACTGTTAGGAGGTACTGTATTATTGACTACCTGGTTTGATGGTTCACACAAATGATGAATGTTATTTATTGCCTCTCCATTTTCAATATTTTCACTGCCCATAACTTCACTGTTTTGATTTTGATCGTCATGATTTCGTTGTGCATCCATTTCTGTGTTCATACTTGTGCCTTCACTTTTCATTTTTATAACGGCTTCCAAATTTATAAGATGTCCTTTACGTCCGTATATTAAGCCAACAACATGTTGTTGCAGCTCGCATGTCATGTCGAATGCACGCCGCAAGTCAAGAAAGTGCATGTCTCCGGTCAAAACATGGGCATTATGTATCGCATCAGCGTACAATTTCAGAAAGTCTCGTGAATCACCTGTCATAATTAAATTCCAGCTATGATTTTAATTATGACAGGTGATTCACGAGACTTTCTGAAATTGTACGCTGATGCGATACATAATGCCCATGTTTTGACCGGAGACATGCACTTTCTTGACTTGCGGCGTGCATTCGACATGACATGCGAGCTGCAACAACATGTTGTTGGCTTAATATACGGACGTAAAGGACATCTTATAAATTTGGAAGCCGTTATAAAAATGAAAAGTGAAGGCACAAGTATGAACACAGAAATGGATGCACAACGAAATCATGACGATCAAAATCAAAACAGTGAAGTTATGGGCAGTGAAAATATTGAAAATGGAGAGGCAATAAATAACATTCATCATTTGTGTGAACCATCAAACCAGGTAGTCAATAATACAGTACCTCCTAACAGTCAAATCAGTAGTACATGTGGTACTCTTACACCCAGTACTAGTACTTCTACCCCAGAGGAAGCATGGAAACCAATAAGTGATAAACACAAGTTAATCTCTATAGACTTCCTTTGTCAATATATGCTTGAAACTGGTGCTACTACTACTGGTTTCATCAGTGACACAACGGAGTGTAGTGCATGTAAACTGAGAAACTGCGTGCATTATGAAACGGAAGTCACCATGGTTTGCGCAGCGTGCCCGCGATTCCCTCGTCTTTGTTCAGCACAATGTTTTGGATGGTGGCACAATGTTCATTTACCGGCATCCGGCAATAAACCAGGAACAACAATCGAATCTAATCAAACCGATACAACAATAAGAAAATCAAATGACCAAGTTATGGTTTCAGAATCCCAGGTACTTGATCAATCAAGTGAATTTAGAGCGCCTGAGGAATCAGTCCTCCAACCTTGTACAACATCCGTACGTCGGATGGTCGGAAAAAGAAAACGACGTAAAGCAGCCTGATATTGTTATGTGAAAAGAAAAGTTTGGCCTAGAAGGAGTAAACCCGGTTGCTCATCGAAAACATACTAAGATAATTCTGATGGACGCTATTTTTGAATTTATTGAAAAAATGAATGTACAGTAAATATCAGTTGAGTTCATCAATACAGGAACTGAAATCTTAATGCACAACCGTGAATCATGTAAGCAAAAGGCTCGTGAAATAAATTGAAATCTTTCAACTTTTCACAATACTCAATCTCATCTAGTGAGGACCTTCACTACAAGTTCAGGCAAGTCTCATTGTTTTATAATTGATACTGGGAGTACTGAATCGATAATTTCTAAGAAAGATTTACTATCGCTCAGGTAGACCCTACTACTAGTTCAATTACAGGCATAACTGGTCATAAACTACCTCTTATTGGTGCAACTAACATTTGTTTGAAGTCAGACAGTGGTAATTTTGTGAATATCCCCTTTCTTGTTAGTGAATATGGTCCATCTTTATTGGGATTGAAAGCCCTTAGATTGTTAAATGTCGAAATCTCACTCTGTACTGAGTTGTTTGATGAATCTTTGTTCAGAGAGTTAGTTTTCCAATGTTCAAAGAGTGTAGGTGGCATGAAGATTCAGCCCATCCATTTTGAAATAGAGGGTGATCCTATCTTCCTAAAGCGCCGATTAATTCCATATGATTTGCGAGATGCAGTTAAGAAAGAGTTAGACAAGTTGATTGAGCAGGGCATACTTATGCCAGTTGAATCTTCGAATTAGGCTACTCGCATTGTCACACCACTAAAAGCTGATGAAAAAACACCGAGAATATGTGGTGACTATCGTCTTACACTCAATAGTCATCTTCTACAGCAAAGTCGCACTACGCTAGAAAGGGAAGACATTCTCTACAAGCTACATGGCTCAAAATACTTTTCCAAAATAGATCTAAAAGATGCTTATTTGCAAATTCCTCTTGACGAAGCGTCTAGTGCATTATCAACCATTAATACTGCATTTGGATTGTTCAAGTATGAGTTCTTAGTTCTTGGTTTAAAGGTTTCTCCTGCAATATTTCAAAAAGTAATAAATCAGATGATAGATGGATTAGATGGTGTTGAGTGTTACCAAGACGACATTATAGTTCATGGTCCGAACATCGAATTGCATAATGAACGTCTTTTAAAACTGTTCAGGTGTTTCTGTGAGAAAAATGTTCTTGTTAATCCATCTAAATGTCATTTTACTTTGTCGTCTGTATCATTCTTGGGATACACAGTAGACTCTGAGGGTTTCAGTCCTGATGCTAGTCGTTTGGCACCAATAATTCAAGCACCGTCACCTAATAATATGTCGTCGTTGAGATCATGGATTGGTACTCTTCAGTTTTACTCCAGATTCATTCCCAATTTCACTCAACTGTTACCTCCACTTTTTGATATTGTCTCCAGTAAACAATTTAAATGGGAACAACAACATGAAGATATCTTGCGAAAAACTTTGGAGTTTCTTAATAAACAAGCTTTCTTAAGACCTTTTTCATCGAAAGATAAGTCCGTTCTCACTACAGATGCTTCTCCTACTGGCATAGCAGCAATACTTGAGCAAAATGGACAACCTGTTATTTGTATTTCAAGACGTCTAAGTAAGAGTGAACAAGGGTACTCACAAACCCAGAAAGAGGCTCTAGCAGTTGTATGGGCAATAAGACGCTTGCACAAGTATCTCTTTGGTACTAAGTTTCACACAGTTACTGATCATCAGGCTTTGAAATTCATTTACAACCCAGAAAAATCTTTCCATTATGGGTAAATTTTATTTTGATAGAGTCTCACAGTGTTATACAGTAATATTTACTGATGACGTTTCGAGCACAATTTATTGCCGCTCATAATCATATCAAGGTAATCACACAACTTCCTAAATTCATTTATATAGTTCCATTGTTTTTCACTTGATTTGATTGGTAGTATTATTTTCCATATTTCGGGTATTAGTGATGATTCATTCCTATTGCACGTGTTGGGTGTAGGTTCGATGAACAAAGATTCAGTAATCAACCTCTCTCTCCACCTACCTAGATTACTTTTTAGAATTTTAATCCTCTCCCACCCTATTGTGTGGTTGTGTGTTAATGCATGCATTGCAATTGCCGAGCTTTTTTCTAAATTACTTATCTTCTCTGGGTCAACCATTCTTACCTTAGCTAAATTCTTATGTTCTGACAATCTGACTACTCCTGACCTACTAGTTTGACCTATGTAGTTGACCTCACAGTCATTGCAGGGTATTTTGTAAATTATATTATTTTGTCTAATTGGGTCCTTTAACCTACAGAGCTTGTCCCTGAGTGAGTTTGTAGGTTTAAATGTCACCCTAATTCCTGCCTTATTTGGAATCCTACGTAGGGTCTCAGATGTCCCTTCTTTATATGGTATAACTGTCGATGACTTATATTCTCTCTTATTTATGTTATTATTATTAGTTTCACAATTCTTTTTATTTTTCTTTTGGCGTTTTTCAATCTTCCTAATGAATTTTAGAGGATAGTTATTTAAAACCAACGCCTCTTCTATCTGTTTTATTTCATCATTTAGGTCTTTTTTTGTGCTACTAACATAGCTAATTCTCCTTGCTCATTTTCAGCTTCAAATGTGAATTTTATTCCCTCCACTAGTGAGTTTATGTGTGTCAAGAAGCTAGAGATATGTTCTGTTTTTAACACTGTGAAAGTGTCATCCACATATCTCCACCATATTTTTGGAGTAGGATTAAACGTATTAAGTGCCATATTTTCCCAGCTATCCATAAATATATCTGCCACGATAGGGGATATTGGTGATCCCATTGCTACACCTTCAGTTTGCCTATATATTTTGCCTTGGAATTTAAATATAGTAGATGTGAGGCATAGCTGAATCCCTAAAATAATTTCTTCAACGGACAGCTTTGTCCTATGATTGAGTTCTGGATCCGCAGTTAGTTCTTTTTTAACTGCTTCCAAGGCCATATCGACTGGTATATTAGTATAAAGACTGGTTATATCAAAACTAACCATTGTTTCATCATTATCTAGTTGTATGTCATTTAGTTTATTTTTCATCTCATATGAATTAGTTAGTCTAGAATTTGAACGATTTCTAATGGGGCATAATATTAGAGCTAAATGTTTTGATAATTCATATGTAGGGGTATTTCTAAAATCTACTATTGGTCTTATGGGATAACCTGGCTTATGTATTTTAATAGTACCATACATTCTACTAGCATTATTAGTTTTAGGCATTAAATTAAACCATTTTGACTCACCCAGTGACGGCTTCATTCTGCGTACTAATTCCGCTGTGGATTTTTTAACCTTATTCATTATTGTATCTACGGGCTTCTTGATTTCCTCATATGGACCCATTTCAATATGTTCATTGACTTTCTTGATGTAGTCAGATTTATTCAAAACTACGGTGGCGTTTCCTTTGTCAGCTTTTGCGATGACAATATTTTTATCCTGTTTTAGATTAATTAAAGCTTCTCTTTCCGATTTTGTCAAGTTTGATTTTGCATTCTTTTGATTTTTTTTAGGGTTAATGCACATTGTGCTCTAACCTCTTCTGCTGTTGTCTTATCTATTGAACCTAGTCCTACTTCTATGTTAGGAATGACATCCTCTGGTTTTAGTTTATTAACTGTTACGTTGAAATTTAGTCCTTTCTCCAGTACTTTTATCTCACTGGAGCTTAGTTCCCTTGATGAGAGGTTGATCACCCACTTTGTTTTGTCGATAGAGGATGAAGCATTGACATCAATTTCATTTGCTGTGTTCTTTTCTTCAATAAGTTTGTTGAATTTTTTGATTTGTGTGTTTTTTGATTTTCTTAATGCAGATTCTCTAGCTTTTCTGGATGTTTCAAGAATAATTGTATAATCTTTGTCATTGATCATATATTTGAGTTTGTGTTTGAGTTTTTCAATTTCATTTCGTATATTATTTAGTTTCACAGTAACTCGATGTAATTCTTCTCTTAGACATAATCCACTGACATTTTCGGCAGCTGATGTTATCTTACTTGAAGTAATTGGAGTACGTAGACGTAAATATTTCGGAATTATATGAT